TTCTCCATGTTAACCAGGGTTTCTGAATCTTATCCCCCCTACCCAAGGCTTGTATTCATTTCTCCCTCTGTGTCATTTAAGGATATTCTCTTACTTGTCATCTCTCTCATCTGTTCACACTCGTTTATTCAGTTACAGATTTACTGGATGCCTACTGTGATCCTGGCAATGTGCTCACATGCTGGGCATACAGAGGCAAATAAGGCCGACACAATCCTTCCCTGGGGCTTCATTTGAGACCAGCTTTCTTCTGTTCTTGGCTTCTCTGTGCTGCTGCCTCCCTTTGAATGTTTTATATTCATAGTGCCCCAGAGGGGAAAAGAAAAAAATCCGTGTGGTTTGGTTGGTTGCTATTCAATTTTGAATAGAGCTCTTCTAGCAACAAGTTAATAGAGCAAGGGGCAGCAATGCGCACTTCGAAGGAGATGATGACTCCATCACCCTAGAGGTACTGTGGGGTCACTGGAACATTGCTGTCTCCTGAACAGTAACAACTGCAACTCCCGTTGCATGAGGCCTCACTGTGCAGAGCCTAAAATGACTTGTTCCATCTCCTCACTTCTGTTTTCTGTACCCAGAGGGGGTCCAACGGTGCTTCTCTGAATCCCCCCAAAGCCTAACTAACCTCTCATCTTTAGCTTCAAAGGTATTATTACCTACTGCTCCAACTAAGTAGAAGATTAAGCCCCTAATAGACATAGAGCCTTGATGTCAAACCATGCCAAGCACCAGGCCTCTCTGTGCCTTTTTAAAAATTACTGAGGTATATGTGAAAATTGAGAAGTGTGTGTGTATATATATATATATATATATATATATATATATATTTAAGGAGTATGATTTGACAATTTGATGTACACGTGCATTGTGAAATAATCACCATGTTCAAGTTAATTAACATACCCATCATCTCAGAGAGTTACCACTCTTTTGCATATGTATGGTAAGAATACTTGATATGCCCTCTTAGCAAATTACAAGGAAGTATTGTTAACTACAATCACATTGCTGCACACTAGATCTCCAGAATTTATTCATCTTGTATAACTGAAAGTTTGTACCCCTTGAACATCTCCCCAATTTGTCCTTTTACCAGGATTTGGGGAGCATTAATACCTCCATCCCAGCACTTCCCAACTTGTGATCTGTGGATCTCTGGGGTTCTGAAACCTAGTAATTGGGAGTTCTGCAAAAAGAGGGTTCTTCTGTTGGGTACATAAGTTTAGGAATGTCACATCCTATATTTCCCACTTGGGAACACAGGACACATAATGAGAACATTTATGTATTTACAAATGTTAATTTTGCTAAACCCACTCAGTGTTTCCCAACCTAGTTTGGTCATGGAAACGTTTATTCCCAGAACACCACTGATATCTTAGAGGACACTCCTGCTCAGGAGAAAGCTGTTTGGTACCGCCTTTTCCACCTTCATGTCACATGCAAATGAATAACAAATTGTGACAGAGTGAGTAAGAAGAGAGATATGCAGACATCTTTCTGCGAGTTCTTGGGAGCCAATAATGATGAGAGAACATAGTTTTGTGGAACAAACACTAGACTTACAGTCAGAAGACCCATGATTTAGTCCTGCTTCTGCCATATAACTAACTAATGCAATGTTGTTGGGTAAATCGCTTCACCTCTGAGCCTTAGTTTCCTCTCCTGCAAAGGAGACACATTATAGGAGAAACATTCATTGTAACTGTTGACCAGTTTAGGAAGTTGTTGTGTAGCAGATTAACTTTGATTTTAACTTTAAAAAGTATTCTTCCGGGTAGCTTTTGGGGCCCATTTTTTTTTAAAGATTTTATTTATTTATTTGACAGAGAGAGAGACAGCAAGAGAGGGAACACAAGCAGGGGGAGCGGGAGAGGGAGAAGCAGACTTCCCGCTCAGCAGGGAGCCTGATGCGGGGCTCAATCCCAGGACCCTGGGATCATGACCTGAGCTGAAGGCAGACGCTTAACTGACTGAGCCGCCCACGCACCCCATTGGGGCCCATATTTTTAAAAGTCCTCTTTCAGACTACTGGTGCCTTCAACTCCGAAGATGGAGGTATCTGATTTCTTTGACATGAAGCTGCAGGTCTCTCTAAGGCCCTAAAAGCCCAAAGAAGTATTTTGGAATGAATAATGGAAACAAATTGAGTCTGGGATATATTTATGTTAGCCTGAGTGGTAGGACAATACCTAGAGAAGTCCTAAGAAGTCTTACATTGAATGTGGGAAGACACAGGTCTATAATATTATAAAGAAGCAATAAATGAAATTTGAGACGACTTATTTGACCCTAGGGTAATTGGCTTATTTTTCTAATCAATTTCCAAAGATGGAGATTGGAGATAGAGAGTTGTACTGCAAAATTAATTTGTAGCTCAGCACTAACTTATATTCCACAGCAACACAGGAGACATAGGTAGTAATCCCCTCCAGGGAGGTGTCCTCTGATCCTTATCTTTGAGGAAGACTCTCTTCTACTCTCCAACTCAGGAGGGAAAGATTCACTCCCAGACCTGTCCTCTGAAGGGAAGATTATTCTATGATGGTTTGCTGTATACTTGCAAAAATACTCTAGAGGGAACCAGATGGCTCCTGGGTTTTTTTTCTTGTCATTGAATTATAAGTCTACTGAAATAACAGCTACTGTGAAAAAAAAATTTTGACTGGATATAAAAGGCAAAGTAACATAAATTTTAGTCTCTCTCTGCTTGAAATTTGATGTAATAAGCTTGATGACAATAAGTAGTTTGGCTTTAAAGAAGATATGATTTTGCTTCCACTCTAAGTTAAATAAATGTTACTTTAGTTGTCTGTAAGTAATTGCTGGGCCACTGTAATACATTCAATGTGAAATTTGCTAAGCAAGCATGCCTGTCATCTGGTTACTGAAAGACTGTATTTTTGCAACTTCATAGATACACATGGCCCAGTAGCACTGAGATGTAGGGAACCGATAGGAGCATATGGATCAATTCCAAAGCAATTTGAGAGTTCAAGCCATTCATTTGTTTGCAACACAAAGTGTTCTCCACATAAGAAAACAATGAGTCTAACTTATCTCTCTTTCCTGTCCTGGTATCTTTAAAAATGTCCATCATGACAGGGTGCACAAGGGTTTACAATATGAAGCCAACTTTAATTTTTTTTTATTTTTTTAAAAAGATTTATTTATTTATTTGAGAGAGAGAGAGCATGAGCAAGAGGGGCAGAGGACGAGAGAGACTCTCAAGCAGACTCCACACAGGGCTCCGTCTCACAACCCTCAACTCATGACCTGAGCCCAAACCGAGAGTCGAATGCTTAACTGACTGAGCCACCCAGGTGCCAACTTTAGAGACCAGGAAGATCATCTGTGTGCTGTTTGTGCCACATCCCACTTGGTTTCCATGCCAGCAGCACTGTGCCTGGTCCGCAGAGAGCACACAGAAGTATCTGGATAATATGGCTAAGGTCCGTATGTGACTTTGGTAGTAGGGGGAAGAAGTTCCCAAACCAGTTTTTTCATTAGGCCACTCGCAAGCACCCCTCTCCCCAAACCAAAGGCAGAATTAGTGGCACTGACTACGGTACCTAGCACTAGTAGGGGCTCAAGAAATATTTACTAAGTACAATCATCTGGGAAGCCGGTGAATACTAACACAAAGGACTACTAGAAGAGAGCTTACCTTGGTCTTTGTAGATATTGTACTGCATACATTGGACATAAGCCTCACACATAGTCCAGGCTTTCTCAGCCCTGGTACTATTAACATGTAGGGCTAAGAATTCTTTGTTGGGAGCGGGGAGTGGTGCTATCTTGGGCACTGTAGGAAGTTTAGCAGCATCCCTGGCCTCCACCCACTAGATGCCTGTAGTGTCCCTCCCCCCAGCAAAAATGTCTTCAGGCATTGCTGTACGTCCCCTGGGAGGGTCCGGGGGTGGCAAAATCACCCCTACTTGAGAACCACTTATTTAGTCTGTGTGTTCACAACACTGCCAGAATTAGAAAGATTATATTCTCTCTTCTTTTTTTCTGAATCAACATTTTTTAAACATGATTTTATTTATTTTATTTTGTAAATAAGCTTTACACCCAACATGGGGCTTGAACTCATGACTCTGAGTCAGTTCTACCGACTGAGCCAGCCAGGCACACATCTGAATCCATATTTCTTGATCTACATGATGGTATTTTATTCTCTTAATCTGATTTCACTTAATTTAGTTTTCTCTAAATGTTTTCATAATGCTAGGCGGGGGTGGGGGGGGACTTTCTAGGTATATCCATATAAGTTAAAAAGACCTGTTTTCCCTTTAGGGAAGGGGAAATATGAAACGAAGAGAAAACATTCCATACAGGAATTGGACTAGTAACTAAGAAGGCTGTTTTGCAAAATGAGGTTGAGATGGTTTTGGGCCCAGGGTAGACAGAAGTCCCTAAACTGCAACTGTGAGTCCAAAAAGAACTTTTGTATCTTAAAACACAGTACCCTCCATTTGTTTGCAATGCATTCTTGTAATCTTAACAATAAAACTCCACTGTTATACAAAAGTATCCTTCTGACAAACAGATTTTTTTTCTCCCTTGGCTTTAGTTTTATTTACTTCCTATTTATGTTAACAGTTTCAGGAAGATACCCAGCACGCATGGACTCCAGGAACAGGCTGTCTTGGTAACTCTTGTTCCTTCAGAATTACAGTAAGTAGTCCCGCTAACTGAAGAAATCATTAGCCTTTAAACCTTGAGGATAGTGATGATGCCATGTGTCTACTCTTCCTTAAAATTAAGAAAATTAAAACCTTAGAATTCCAGCGCAAACCCAGCCAGTGGACAACCTGCTTGAAAATGACTACACATCCATATCTAAGGGTGAGAAATAATTTATGACAAATAAAGCTCATGAAAAATTCTAATTTCATTCATGTTGCTACAAGTACACCTTCATGCTTTAAAAAAAATGTGGGCTGGTAACATTTTTCTACCTTACTTATAGCATAGAGTTAAACGTGGGCTCTTACCTCTCCTCCAGTGCATGGAAAAGGATTGGAGTATCTCGAAGTGCAAATAGCTCCCTTCTTGATGACATCATCTTCCAGGCCAAACGTAGCTGAGCAGTTAGTTGCAAAGTACTTGTAAGGCTTCCATGTCTTCCCAAAGTCCTGGGACCGGTCCAGCACCATGGCTGCTGGCCTGGGGGACTTGAACACCATAATTAGATGAGTGAAGTAGAATTCAGCTTCCAGGTCTAACTGGATCTTTTCTCTGTGCACATCCTCAGCAGACTGCCACCACGTGCGAGGAAACCTGAAGGATGAGTCCGCCATGGCGGCAGGCAGGTGAGCCAGGTGAGGCTGGGCAGCATGGCATTTGTCACATTTGGGCTGCCGACAAGTCAGATCAGCATTCTCACTATAGGAGCAGTACAGTTCGGTGGCGTTCTGACCACAGGTGGTGTCTGCCCAGAGTTTTCTCCCTAAAGCCAAGTTCCCCATCCGAGGGTTGCAGGCTTTTTCACAGCGGGAACTCACTCCAACTACTCCACTCAGTCCTGGGAAAGGGAAAGCCTATGTTATTCAAGACAAACACATCTGGAAAGCTCTTCTGTCTTCAACAGTCAGGTTATCCCCAAAGAGCTTAAGACTTCCACTAAAGAGGACATTCTATCAAATTTGAGCACGAATACCGTTCTACATTTATAGTGCATTTGTCTATACCAGTGTGTGAGCATGCATGCGTGTGTGCATGCATTTCATGTCCAGATACACAATTCACATAAAGGGAGAAAAATCACTTCAGATAAAGGGTGAGAGGAAGGAAAATGGAAACACTGGGGGAGAGATAATGGGCCTAAACCTTTTAAGTACTTTGCTTTCTAAACATTCCCTATATTTGAAATATACACGTTTGTTTTGAAGTCATGACTTAAATAATCCCCCAAAACAATAATGTTTTTAAGATCACCCAATTTAGTCTTTCAAATATAATTTGAGTCCTTAGCATTATCTAAAGTGCTTATTAGAATGCATCAAGGAGGAAATGTTTTATTCTATATTTTTCATCCGAAAATGTGAAGGGACAAATTCCCTAGGAAAAGCAATACGAGATATTTAATCAATATACAGTGGAATCTCACTTAGGGAGGCAAAACTAGACACCACTGGAGCTCAGAGGCATAATATCTATTTTTAATACTGAGTAAATATAACTAAGAAAAAAACTCTCTAAACTGCCAAATGGCAGAAAAGCTTATTTGACATGCTCTCTGCCTCTTGAGTGCTTCTACCTATGACAGATTATATAGTAGTTGCCTGTTTGCTTAACAGGATAATGTTTACAGTCTGGCAGCCACTAAGAGCACCTTTAAACATTATCTGTGAACTAAAACACCTTCTTAAAGAAACATGTGCTTCCACCCAAACAAAGGTCCAACAGACTTTAAGGTTTCAAAATTGCTTAAAATGATAAACATTATCCACTTATTAACATCCTGACTACGTATTTTAATCCTTTAATTTGGGTTTGTCATGTTAATTATGAATACCTTAAGCAAAATCATCTATTGTAAAAGTTAAAACAGAGAAAGAAAGAAGGAAAAGGAAGTCAAACCCCAAATTCTGGCTAATTGAACGTTTCTGCTTCTTAAGGGAGAGCACCTCTGAACTGTTATCACCGTGCTATTGGAGAAGCCCAAATGACAGCTTAGACTAGAACAGAAACATTTCCCATGCTGACTGACAATCACCAGCCCCACATAGCCTCTGCAACCAAAAGAAAGGGCTTCCTTAGGCATATATTTTTTTAAATGTCAATTTCAGGTGTGCATTATGCCTGGACTCCTGTTTGCCACTGTTCTGATTAGCTGGAGCAACAGTTGCTTGTGGCCAGGATCACCCAAACACACAATCTGCTATGACTCACCTGCAAAGCATTTCGGGGAAAATCATATACTGCCCGTACAAGTATTTTTGACTTGAAACAGTTGCCTTGTGATATTTATTTACAACCTCTTGATTGCTTGCATGTTTTTGCCATAACATGGTTTGAAAAGGGAAAGGTTTAATAAAGTTCACTCTGTGGTTGGGGAGCATGCATAAATGCAGGCAGGGGTGCATCCTTAAGAAGAATTAAGGTAAAATCTTAGCCCTCTAATGGCTCCTTGGGGGAAAGTACTGAATCATTTTAAATGCCTCCGAAGTAATAAGTACAGAAAAGATTGTGGAGCCAGATAAATTGGTGGACAAAATACTTGAAGATCTCTAAAGAAGTAACTATCCAAATATAGCAAGGATGCTCCTGAGTCTGCCCGATTTGGGGTGAAGATTCTAAAACTTTGCTTTACTGTGTGCCAGCGTCCCTGAGGGCAGAGTGGAAGAAGCCGAAGGGAAGGTACAGTGCGCCAGTGCTCTCTGTCCACCAGTCCGTCCCTCCAGCCCACACTCCCCTTTCTAGAGCAAACGAGAAACGTTTGAGAGATTGGATGGCTGAAGAGTCCCTCACTTTCTTTCCCCTTCACACCCTGAGCTGCACTTACCCCTAACTGGAAACCAGGTGACCCGCAAGGGGGAGGGAGAGGAACAGAAGGGGGGCTCCCAATTTTAAAGAAACGGCGCGCTAGGAACGGCCAAGGACAGCCCAGGAAAGCCGGGCTGGGAGTAGGAGGGAGAGAGCCTCTGACGACGCCTCTGCCGGTCGTCCAGTTACCGAGACAGGGAGCAGACCCGCCTCCGACCTCCCACGGAGCCTCAGCCAGGGTACCAATTCCCTAGGGGCGGCCAGCCAGCTCGTGCAACCCAGGGTGATCACCTATCGTCCCAGCCCGGGGTCTCACTGCATTCCAGCCACTGCCGCGGTGAAAGGGCACACACCCCGCCCAGGTGTCCCTACCTGGTTCCTTCGTGCCCAGTAGGAGGTCGGGGACTAGGGCGATCGCTCTCCACGAGAGAGCTTCCGCGGCCCACGCGCGCCCAGGGTCGCTGGGCCATCCCTCCCCATCATTCCTCAGGCCATGAAGTGCCGGGGGATGGCGAGCTTGGTCCTTTGTTCCCTCACAAAGTGGAAAGGCAGTTTTTTACAAGCCCAAACCGAGAAAGAAACCAAGGTCGTGGTATCTCCGGCAGGACGCACCCAGGATATCGGGTTATCCAAGGGCATGTGTATCGCAGTTGCAAAAAAATCAATAGTATTTTAAACGGCAGAGACCCGGGGGAAAGAGGCGGAACATGGCCACTCATTTCATCCTCGGGAGCTGAGCTTGGCGCTCCCAGCCCGCTCTCCCCTGCACCCCCGAGTCCCGAGGTGGGGAACAGAAAGAGCGAGGGAAAGGGGGTGGGGGCCCAGCAGCGTCACCACCCACCTGCGGCCACCGCCGAGCAGCCCCATAGCAGCAGCAGCCGCGCGCAGCTCCCCATGGCCGGGACGAGCCGGGAGGACCCGGGCCGGGCGGGTGCGCGAGGGAGCTGAGCCCTCTCGGTTGTGGGATGAAGCGCCAACAGTCCTCAGGAAGAACTGGGGCTCTTTATTTCTTCCCCCTCCTGGGGCGCCAGGCTCGGTCAGCGGGCGCCGGCTGCCGGGAGCCGCGGGCCGGGGCCGCGCCGGGCGGTGGGGTGACCCTCGCGCACCGGCCTGGAGGGGCCCGGGCACCTCGGGGGCGACGGGAGCCCCCGGACCATAGCCGGCCTGGCCGCGCAGCCCCTGCGGAGCGTCCCGCGGGCTCCTCCGCCGCTAGCCCGGGGCTCGGCGCCCGCAGCAGCCGCTGAACTTTGCGAGACCTTTCACTTCCCGGCCGCCGCCGCCGCCGCCGCCGCTGCCTCCTGGGCGTCCTCCTCCGCTTTTACCACCTCCTCTCGCTGCCGCGTCTCGGTCCCGTCCTTCTCCATGGGCAGTTCCATGGGATGCATTTTTATTGCACCGACACCGCGGCGCTCCGGTGCCAGCCCTCCTCCCCTTGCACCTCCACCCCTTCCTCCTGCCCGCCCCCCGCGCTCGCTTGACAGCCGGGGCGGTGCAGCCTGCGCAGCCGGGTAGCCGCCGCCGCCGCCGCCGCCGCCGCCGCCGCCGCGCCCGGGGAGGGGTCTCCTGGCCCCACGGGCCGCCCCCGAAGCCTAGCTACCAGCTCGTTCTGCCCGCCTTAGCCCCCGCGGGTACGGGTCACGTCGGCCCCCAGCTTCCCTCGTGCCCCTCCCGGCGCTTGCCCTGCATCTCCCTGCGTGACCCCCCTGGTGCCCTCCAGCACCCACAGGCCTCTTCTGGGAAGCAGTCTCCCACCTTCTCCCGGAACATTCCAGAGAGCAGTTGACTCCCTCTTGATCAGGTCAGGGCATGCCAAGGGGCTTAAAAAACCGCGAAACAGGCTAGCGCCTACTTCCCACATCCCCCAGCAAAACAAACCCTCCCCTCCACTCCCCATCTCCGCCACCCCTTCTCCCGGAGTCTCACGGTCCAGGAAAGGAACCCCCCAACCCAGCTCCGGGTCGTGGGCTTTGGAAAGCGCACGAACTGCTAAGTGGCCTTCGCAGCTTCTCTGCTGCTTTGGTGGGGGGAGGGGTGCGGGGGAGGGCATCCGGGCTAAACACTCAATGCTTACTTTATCCCAGGTGTATCCATTTTGATGTAAAAGGTATTCCCTAATTCAAACTCAAGGTGCTAAAAGAAAAGGGTCACAGGATTGGCTAATGGGCAGTGTAAAACATTCTTGTCTAGAGGCAGGGGCATGACAAAGAGAAATTGGTCTTTCCAAGCACTCTCACTCCATACAGAATGTGTTGTGCTCTGAAATAATAATGTTGTGAAATAAGTTGTGGGGGGCAATTTAATAGCAACCAGAAGCAGCTAATTGTGGATAGGATTGCTGAGGACTTCTGCTTATGGAAGGAGATTAAATAGCACTTGAGTCTGGGACATCTGCAAGTTCTATGAAAATATAATTCTAAGCACACATCCAGGAGGATAGGCAAAAGTTAAATAGAAAACCGTGTTTATTGCCATGTTCATTTTGTGCCTTTGAATATTTCCCAGAAAATTAACTACATTACAGATACCATTCAGTTGTGTTACTGATGATGGCAATTCAGAGTTTAGGGTGTCAAGTACACATTTTTCATGACTCACCTGGGGATATATAAGAAGTTTGTATCTCCCAAGAAGAACTGGGATGAAGTCCGCTTCATCCGTTTGGAAGATATTAAAATTATTCCTCTGGCCAATACTGGGGAGCGGCAAAAGTTACGGGACAGCAGTTTGTATAACACTTTAGGAAATAAACCCTTTGAGTTTTCAAATATTGGCAGTGTTGGGGTTTTCTTCATATCTTATGGATATGCTCCCATCAAGTCACTGAAACACCTCTCCAAATTATTCTTTTTACCAAATAAATGATAGGAAATTATAATAGCCAAAGTCTCATGGCACCGATATTAACCTAATGGCCAACGCGAATTAAAGAAAGAGCACATTTATTATTAACCTCTGAGTCTGCTGTATTGAGGCAGAACTACTCCATTTCTCATTACAGATTTCAAAAACATTTACTATCTGTGCCAGTCCTGCCTGGATAAGATACTTCCTTGATTGCTCTATAACTCGTTGTTTAACAAGACATTAAGTTCCTTAATGGCAAAGTAGTCTTTCATACTTAGTTTATATAAAACATTATTATGTTTTTCTGTTTTTTAAAGATTTTATTTCTTTATTTATTTGACAGAAAGAGAGAGAGAACACAACTTGGGGAAGCAGCAGGCAGAGGGAGAGGGAGAAGCAGGCTCCCCACCGAGGAAGAAGCCCGACACAGGCGGGGCTCCATCCCAGGGCCCTGGGATCGTGACCTGAGACGAAGGCGTCCGCTTTAACCGACTGAATATAAGATGTTTATCTTATATTCTTCATTATTCTTAACTGAGAGCACCTGCTAGCTATATAAGTTTTCATTAAATATTTTTGAGTTATGTTTGAACTATTGCTATATATAAGTACAAGATTAAGAAGAAAACCAATAAAATCAGAATGATTCCCCATATTCTAAAGGAATCTGTGCCTTTACACCAATACTTTCCATATGAAGCAGCTCAGGAGATAAAAGTAGTTAGCATTCTAATCAATTTCATTTGGTTATATAGTCTAGTTATAAATTCGACTTCCATTCTGAAGAAGCTGTCCGGGGGAAGTTTATCTACATAAGGAAAATCTTGCTCAGTGATGAGTATATCACTGCCTATGATTATTTTTGGAAAAATTCAGTAATGGATTCAGAATTTTCTTTTTTAATTTTATAAATTAGTAGGAAGCTTAGCAAACTTATGGAATTTCAATAACAAGGTTCCAGAAGCCACATACTTGACAAATTAAATCTAGAACACCCCCAAGAACTTGGAAGAAAGCTAAAGGGACCTTTAAGAACTAAAACAGATGGCAAAAAGTCCATGTACCAAAGACCTTATTCATGGGAGAGCTCTTCAGACGTTCATTTAAATTATTCATGCAATGTTAATAAGTTTGGTTATTAGCTGTTTTCCTAGACCACAACATATTAGAAGTAACAAATTAGAATGAAGTGGGATGACATTAAAACAAGGAACGACAGAACTATAAAAAGTAGCCATAAGGACAAAAAACCACACAGCAGTCTGAGTGAGGCCTTTTAGTGCAGAGGCAAAGCACCAAAAGGCTGAAAAGTGTCACTCTGTTATAACTTATCACAGTGAGTGAGGTTCCTAATGGAATATAGGATATTCAGCATCAGAGGGGACCTTAGGGATCTTTGAGCCCAACTTCTCACCCCATAAGAAACCTCTCCACAAAAATCTCTGTCCAATAGTCATCCAGTTTCTGTTCTAGAAATCTCAGTAAACAAAAGCCTTAAAGGCAGCCCTTTTCATTTTTGGTAGAGTTTTATTTAACTGTGACATCTCTCTTCTTAAAATTCTACCTATGTTTATAGTTTACTTTTCTGTGACTATGCAGAGTAGGTCCAATTTCTTTTCTGATAGGTATTCAGAGATTTGAAGTCACATTTTATTGCTCCACTTAACTATTCTCTTCTGCAAGTGCTCGTTTAATTGTCCATATGGCTTGATTTCCACAGCTTCCACCATCTTAGTCACCCCCTTTCAGATATACTACAGTTTATCAGTGTTGTTCTTATACTGTGCATCCAGGACTCAAGTCCAGGTTTATCTGGATTGGTGTAGAATAAGAACTAGTAGTTCCCTTAATTTAGGTCTAGGGCTTATATTTCTGTAGCTTAAAAATGCATTAGCTGCTTTGTGGTGTTGGCTGATATTGTCCTTGAAGCAAATTATATGGATGAAGGGTCATTGATAAAAGATAAAATACATTTTGTTTAATCAGAAGGAAAGAGTTCTATTAATTACCTACATTGCAGGTAGTAAGCATTCAACAAATATTAATTATAGAATTAATTAATTAATTTAAAGAAAAAATCAACAAGTTCAAATTGGAAAATTGGAAAAATGGCTAAAAATTTAAAAAGAAACTGTTAGTCCTGAATGGGATAAATATCTATTTTCTGAAAAAAAACAATCACTACTATGGAAAAATTTGATTCTTCAACAACACTGTATACATGTGGTATTACTATACATTTCCAAGGAAAGGAAGAACTTTGCAATAGTGATATTTTTAGGATACCTAGTATCTTTCCTCATTGAACTATAAACATGATCTCATTTATCCTTGAAGCATCAATGTGTGGGAGGGAACAGGAATAGCTGCATGCATTTACAGAGAGAGAAAGTGATGTGAAAGATGTAAGTGCCAAATTTAGATCATCCAGTAAATATACACTGGAGATCGGACATGGGTTTTCAGATTTTTTTTAAAGAAATCATTGTTTATCCATCAATTTTCCGTGAATACGATCTTATCTCTCTTGGACCTAGAAGACCATTGGGAGAAAATTAAATGGAGAATTATTTCCATTGAAATAAGCCTATATTTTGTTTCCTACCTAGGTCTATGCCCTTTAAAAACATCCTCTTGGGAATTTCCTTAAGCTTTAATCCAAGCCTCCTGTGCTTCCTGGCTACGGCAGCTCATTCCTAGGAAGGGAGTGAGAGCCTTTGAAACTACATGTGCTCTTCGAGGAAGGTAAGCAGTAGTTTTCTTAAAAAAAAAAAAAAAAAAAAAAAAAGCACGCATGCTCTCTCATGTTTAAATTAATTATATGGAGCCTGGAAAGTTCAAACAAACAAGAACAGTGTTATTGTTACAGAGATAGCTACTCTGGACAGCACTGCATTGACACAAATTTTAAACACTTGTTCCTCTAAATAGCTCTTAACTAAAACTTTCCATACATATTGCTATTCCTAACAGTGATAAAGAGATGCTCAGAGACAAATTACTGTTGTTTTAAATGTAAGAAAATAGACAAAGCAACAATGACTAAAGGCTGCATGAGGATGAAAGAACAGTAAACAATATGGGTGATTCCTTTTATTTATTCATGTCTTCTATGTATTAGTGTAGTGGTTAGGAGCATGGACTGGCCTGATGCCCCAGGTGTGAGCCGGCTCCACCAGCTCCTAGCTGTGTGACTATGGGCAATGATAAATAAATAACCCATCTGTACAACCATTTCTTCATCTGCCATATGGGAATAACAATAGCACCTAATAAGATTATTATTAATATGAAATGAGTTAATATTTATGAAGTAGTAGACAAGAGCAAGACCCAGGAAGCACT